CTATATATATATATATATATATAATTATTTTTTAAATCGCCATAAAAAGTTACTAAGAGTCAAACCTCTCACTCTTAAATAGCTCCAATGAACACTTGCAAACGTGTTCATTGGCGCTATTGTACAGAAAACGACAAGATCACAAGTCACGTGACCTGCAAACACCCCCCCAACTCAACCTTATGTGTGTATGGACTTCATTATAACATATATAATTCGTATTGTTTGAAGTACTTCGGTTTAACACCAACTTGACTTAAATGCCAATTTCGTGCGTTAAATCAAAGTTTGGCGATTTAAATATATTAAAACATATAATTTAAAAGTTAAATTTAATTTCTTTTAATTATGGAAAATGTTATTTAATTTTTAAAATTTGCTTGTTTTAGTATTTTTGAGGGGAGTGCTTAATTTAAATTAAAAGTCGCTTTTTTTTCTCCCTCCCTCCCCCTTAAAATATCTCGTTAAATTTTAATATTTTCCTTAAAATATAATTTAAATATAAAATATTTCTGAGCTTTTTTTTGCATATTCTATTATGATTTATATATTATAAAACTATTGTAACGTTAACGACGATATTTTCAAATTACAGTACAAGGAATCTTCATAGATATGAAGATTTCTTCAGTTTTCTAAGCAGAAAAGTAAAATTTTAACTCTTATTTTTAATTTTAAAAAAAACATATTAAATGCCAAATAAAACTCGAAATTTAAAGTGAAAAAAAAAATCAAAATTTGGTTAAAAATAATCAGAATTATTTTTAAAATAAATTTGTCATCCACTTAAGAATGTCAATTAAATTAATATGATACTTTTCTTCTTAAAAATTAAAATAAAATTATAGAAAAAAAAACTAAATTTCATTGACGATTTTTTTTATCAGGATATAAAAAATAATAATCAAAATTTGGGATAAAAATATCGGATCTTAAGTTACATTTTCTTATCTTAACAAGAAGCTGATTATCATTCTCTGAATTTTTTTTTTACATCCTTCGACATTACATGGAATCAAATAAAGGTAAGTTTAGTTTCAGTTTATATAAATTAATAAAATTTTCGATAATTATTTTAATATTTGATAGCATTACAGAAGGATATTTTAATTTTTTTACATCATTACGTAACAATGTATTGTTAGGAAACAGTTTTTTCTAAACGAAAAAATAATTTCTTTTTTTAAAAAATTAAGTAAAATCTTCATTAAGTAATAAATTTGCATATTAACATGACCATGATCTCGCGAATAAACTCGATAAATATATTTATTTTACGTGTAATAATACGTACGACAGTTTATAAACTGCTGGTATGAGAAAAATTTAGCATTGTAATTCCTATTTTATATTCATTATTTCGTGGTATTGACGAAACGAAACCGAAATCCGAAAGAAACGAAATTCAGATTTCGTTTGCGAAAATTGCAATTGCTTATATTATTTTATTTATTATTGAAAAATCACCTATCCCTTGTAATAGCAAAATATTACAAATTAAATAAAAACTTTGAAATTTTTTTTATTTCATTAAACACGGGAGGAGAAAAAATATGAAAACAAAATTTCAAACAGAATCATTTTTACTGTATTCTCGACCTTTCGTGGTAATTTTGCTAACGATGCCAAATTCAAATTCAAATTTGTATAGTTCGCATTAGTACTTTTAGTATTTATCTCAGAATCCCTCCACTATGAGTCCTTGCCATGGGCCCATGAGATCACGAGTCTCCGTAGGTACCCATCTGTTTTCTCTTGTGGTTTGCCATGACTGCAAACACAATTACGGTTAAGTTTGCATTTACAGATAGTCTACTATTCTATGTAAAACTGCCTGCGAAAATCGAACGTTTAATAGAAGAACAATAGACTTGCATGCTAAAAAAAAGGAGTGGAGTTCCATGTCTAGAGAGCTACAATGTCTCTTGTTAAGGTAGAAAAAGGTTTATTTTTCAGTGAATATGTATAAACATTATTTAAAACTATAAATTAAATAGAAAATAGAGAATAAAAATTAATTTTCACAGATGATTTTGCTGTTATTAAAACTAAAACTGATATAATTCATTACCATAATAGCTCGAAATTTTTGTTTTCTTGGCTGAAAATTTACGAAAGTGTGAATTTGCCGTGCGAAAAGCAATCAAAGTATCATGCACGAAAGAGCAAGTTGCCGGAATATGGAGGATTTTAAAAATAAAATTTGTTTTAAAACTTAAATAAACTGCTTTATAGTTTTAATTATACTAGGTTATAATATATTACAACACCTGCATTTTTTTATTCATTTATTTATTTACAAAGGTTAGGTCCATGCTTACGCTACTGATCATAAATTTCTGGAACCGACTTCCACACAATAAAGAATAATCTCTATAGAAACACTTATAAAAATATAGAAAGACTTAGAAAAATATAGTCTATATACGTAGTTTAATAGTTTTATAGTTTATAGTTTAATTTATTTACGATTATAAATAAATTCAATATACTATAACTCTATTTTAAATAGCTATGTCCTCTTTTTCCCGGACATGTCCTCTTTTTGAACAGATGACTTAGAAAAATATAGTCTATATAGTTTAATAAAATGTTTCTATAGAGATTATTCTTTCCTGTGTGTAAGTCGGTTCCAGAAATTTATGATCAGTAGCATAAGCAGGGGCCTAACCTTTGTAAATAAATAAATGAAGGAAAAAATAAATAAATAATTAAAATAAAAAGATTTGAATGTGGCAAACGCACTTATACATATTTATATACAATATCTAAGAGTTCACTCTTCATTCACAATAGTACAAAGATGTTTTGTACGTTCTAATTCGAGTCCCCAATATCTATTTCAGTTAAACTATTGTTTATGATATAAAATGGCGAATATTAACAAAATTTAATTTTAAATACATCCAAAAAGTTTTATTTCTATAAATTAGTCAGTTATGCAGTATGCAGACAAACTGACCGACGTAATGGAATATTTTAAAATATTATTCTATTGTGGAATCATTTTATTTAAAGATACAAATTTAAAATTTTACAATTTTATTATTAATTATTTTACCATATTTTATAAATATCAAGTAGAATGATCTGTTAAATATATATATATTTTTTTAAGTTTCTTAAACTCATTTTTACATAAGAATAGTATTAAAAAAATATCTTTCTAAGCTAGCAGTGACCTGTTAATTTAGCGTAACATATATTTTTTAACCTTAAAAGTTAATCTTTAGATGTCTTAGAGTTTAATTTGTAAATATAGAACAACATTAAGTTCGAAAACAGATGTAAAAGTAGGCTACATCCTTTTAAAGAGCAAAATATTTGAAATTTTATTTGTTCTTCGACTTAAATAATTCATGAAATCAAAATTAGAAAATTTTACCATACGATAAGTGATTTTTGCATAGAAAATAATCGGGCCATTTAGCAATCGACTTACTTACTTATTTAAAAAATAAATAAATAATTTTCCATTTAATTAATAATTTTATAAAAATTTCTAAATGGCCGCCTTTCCTTTTCTGTAATACGCGAATCGACACCTGTATGATTACATGCAGCTTTTTTTTTTGTCAAATTACAGAGTTTGCAGGTGGACATCTTAAAATCAACACCTGCATTAACCTCACCTCCTCACTACGGAGCACACTCGTGACTTACCGTTTCCATGTCAACTGACGATCGTGACTTTACCGCTCCCGAGTATGACGTCACCGACGATATTCTTAGGTCAGGGGTCTACGGATACGAAGGTGGCAGCTAACCCCTCAAATCCCATATCATATCCAACTTATGTTAAATGGGTGGCACGCCTCTTTAATGCCGTTTCAACCAGGAAGACAAATTTACTAAATTATACTCGAGTTTCTCTAGTCGCCATTTTTGAGAATTTAATTTGAAATTTTTTTTATTAATTTAATAAAGAAAACAGTAAGTGAATAATAATCTACCATTCGAAAATTAAACTTAATTATGATTCGTATTTAAGTAAAAGTAATTTTAATTCGTTTTAATTATAGATAAATCAATTTTTTCCCCTTAAATTTGAAGTCGTATTATTCAAATTTAAGCTATATAATTTCAAATTTCAAATTATAAAAATAATCTATAATAAGGTAACATTTATGTACCTTTATACTTTTAGAAATAATGAACTTTTTTAAATAATAAACAGCAAAAGTAAGTATAAATTACCCCACAAACTTATAATAAAATTGGTGCAATTTAGAAGAAAATCTTTCTATATGAA